TTGGTAGGAGATGACCAATAAAGTAAAAATAAAAAATATTAAGAATAAGAATAAACAATAAGAATTCATTAAAATGTAGTTCAGTTAATAAGAAGTTGGAAAAATATCTGAATAAGTGTGTATTTATTTATTGGGAGATTCTAAAGAAAAGTTGCAAAGGTTAGTGGATGAGTTTGGGAGGATGTGTAAAGGTAGAAAGTTGAAGGTGAATGTAGATAAGAGTAAGGTGATGAGGGTATCAAATGATTTAGATAAAGAAAAATTGGATATCACATTGAAGAGAGGGAGTACAGAAGAAGTGAATGTTTTCAGATATTTGAGAGTTAAGGTGTCAGCAGATGGGTTTATGAAGGATGAGGTTAATCATAGAATTGATGAAGGAAAAAAGGTGAGTGGTGCTTTGAGGTATATGTGGCGACAAAAAAACGTTATCTATGAAGCATGGGTTGTAAATGCTGCAGCAAGGAGGCGGTTGGAGGCAGTACAGATGTCCTGTCTAAGGGCAATGTGTGGTGTAAATATTATGTAGAAAATTCAGAGTGTGGAAATTAGGAGGTGTGGAGTTACTAAAAGTATTAGTCAGAGGGCTGAAGGGGGGTTGTTGAGGTGGTTCGGTCATTTAGAAATAATGGATCAAAGTAGAATGACATGGAGAGCATATAAATCTGTAGGAGAAGGAAGGCGGGGTAGGGGTTGTCCTCGAAAAGGTTGGAGGGAGGAGATAAAGGAGGTTTTGTGGGCGAGGGGCTTGGACTTCCAGCAAGCGTGCATGAATGTGTTAGATAGGAGTGAATGGAAACAAATGGTTTTTGGGACCTGATGATCTGCTGGAGTGTGAGCAGGGTAATATTTAGTGAATGGATTCAGGAAAACCAGTTATTTTTATATAGCCAGACTTGAGTACTGGAAATGGGAAGTACAGTGTCCGCACTTTAAAAGAGGGGTTTGGGATATTGGCAGTTTGGAGGGATATGTTATATATCTTTATATATGCTTCTAAACTGTTGTATCTGGGTGACTCTGCAAAAACAGTGATTATGTGTGAGTGAGGTGAAAGTATTAAATGATGATGAAAGTATTTTCTTTTTTGGGGATTTTCTTTTTTTCTGGGTCACCCTGCCTCGGTGGGAGATGGCAGACTTGCTTAAAAAAAAAAAAATAGTAAACTGACAACAATTCTAATCTATATATTTGTGACAAAAAATTGGAATTGGTTAACAAGAATGCTGTACTGTAGAAGAACACAAGTTTACTTTCCAAGTACAGTAGTTACAATTGTATAAGAGAGATCAGTTAAGATAGGTTAGGTGCCTAACATAGAGAAACCCATAGTCATGCAAAGCATTTCAGCTCAGACTTAAGATTATGCCTTTAAATGTGTTGACAGAAGAGTTAAGGTTAAATTATTTAAATACAGTGGACCCCCGCTTAACGATCACCTCCAAATGCGACCAATTATGTAAGTGTATTTATGTAAGTGCGTTTGTACGTGTATGTTTGGGGGTCTGAAATGGACTAATCTACTTCACAATATTCCTTATGGGAAAAAATTCGGTCAGTACTGGCACCTGAACATACTACTGGAATTAAAAAAGTTCGTTAACCGGGGGTCCACTATACTCACTGCAGAGCATCTAAGATGTATGAAGATTGCATTATCAAGTACAGTACTAAGACTATTAAAATTATTAAGGTATTGGGTCATTATGTAGTTGAAAGTTAAGAAAGCCATTACATTATCTGCTTCTTGTGATAAAAAGAAATTTTCATATAGCTTTAATCCTTTCAGGGTTTCGGACGTACTAGTACAGCTTATGCCCCAGGGTTTTTGACGTACTAGTACACCTATATTCTAGCGCCCTCAAATCTAGTGAGAGAAAGCTGGTAGGCCTGCATATGAAAGAATGGGTCTATGTGGTCAGTGTGCGCAGTATAAAAAAATCCTGCAGCACGGTGCGTAATGAGAAAAAAAAAACTGACCGTGTTTTTGGATTAAAACAGCGATTTTGCACTGTATTTTCGTATGATATTTATTTTTGTATTCTAGTTTTCCTGGTGTCATTTTATAGAACGGAAGACATATTACAGAAATTGAGATGATTTTGACTGGTTTGACAATGAAAAGTACCTTGAAATTGAGCTCAAATTAGCAGAAATGTTTGATTTTTACCAAAGTTCAAAAGTAAACAAATCATGCCAAGCGTCCAATATTCGTCAACTGGTGAGTCTAATATTTTTTCACAAGTGTGCTGATATTATTTATACCATTTCTACACTAATGCAGTAGTCTGCATAACAGTAAATCGTCTATTTTTTGTGAGAATAAAAATTCAAAGTGGAAAGCGAAAGAATGTAACAGAGGCCTGGAGACGTGACTAATGAACAGAGGAAATGTTATTTTAGTGCCAGGAATGTCTTTTTTGTTTATTCTGGACCCTATTCGGAAATTGGCATCTTTTGAAATTTGTGTGAAATTGGCAAAATTGCTAAATTCTGACCACTTTATTGGATAGTTGAAACCGGTAAATGGGTGGTTTCTTGTACTCATTCGATAGAAAAACTGGAGTTCTAGTGAAATAGTTACGATTTTTGTCGACTAGTACACTGGAATTGGCTGAAAATAGGGCTCAAAGTGGGCAAAATCGCCAATGCGTAAACATCGTCGAGACCGCTAACTTCGTGAGAGCATAATTCCATAAGTTTTCCATCAAATTTCATACTTTTGGTGTCATTATGATCGGGAAAAAATTCTATTTTTTTATAAGAATTTTTTTTTTTTTTTTTTTTATTTGGCGACCCTGAGAACAAGTCTCGGAGAGGGCCTGGCAACCCTGAAAGGGTTAAAGATATGAGTTATAGTTAATATATTATAGTAGTATGAATTGAACACATTAATTGGTTGCTGGCATTAATTTATAATGATTGCAATAAAACTGTGTGTGTGTGTGTGTTACTCTTAGGCTTTTGTTTGTTTTAACAAAATTTACAAAAAAGTTGATCACTATTCCCTGCAGCTCCAAGGTATTATTACTTTAGATCAATCCAAGATGACATAGCATCTCATATGTCCACCTTACCACAGTGACAGCTTTTAATTGCACTGCTTTGTATAAGTTTATTCTTTCTGTTTGGTTTAGTATTTTGTACATGTCATGCTTTTTAAGCCAGAGCCTCTCTGGACTTGGCGTATAAATCAACAGTCATTTTGCCAAACAAATGTAGCATATGTGGTATTTATTTATGCTACAATTCCAAAGTAAGAAATCTGAGCACCATTAAGCAAATGTAATTAATTCTTTAATAATGAAAATTCCCCATTGAGATTGCTATTTTCCATTTCAAATGATTAGGGCCTATATATAGTTGAAAAACACGTCAGTCATAATTATATAAATAAAAATTCTTTAACTTTCATTTTTATAGTTTACTCATTCAATATTCATTTTACAAGCATAATACAGTTATATCATAGAATATTGTAGGTAGTGTGCAGCAGCTGTAATGTTTCAAGCATTTCACTCCCAGGTAGATTTCCATGTTCAAATTTTAAAAATTTATAGAATTATGATTGTAACTGAAATTTTAGTTGTATAACACTAAGTATAAATGTTGCTTTTGCTGCTTAGATTAGATCAGTAGGGGTAATATTCTTGGTATAAGTTTTGTATTATTGATATTGAATTTTTGCAGTGTATCTGTCTTCGTGGAGTGCGAAAGAGTAAGAATAATCCATTACTGTTATATAGATATTAGCAGTACCTAAAAATTAGGTGTTTTATACCCTAAGTCTTGATTATTTCATCCTTTAAAACTAATAGGATACCCAGAATAAAGAACTAGGCAGCATATTGTTAGTATTAGTAAGACGAACTGGTAAGTTTTCCATGCACCAGTAGATGGACCCATAATGATGGCTATGATAACTTCAACAAGCTCTCAGCTTGCTGCATAGCATAGTTCTAAGAACCTGAAATCACATGAACATTATCTAAGATGAGATCCATAGTCATAGCTTCATTGATGTTGTTTAATATTCTGATGCACTGTTTTGAGTAACAGTCTAGAATGTTCATTCGTATGGTGATAATCTGTTGATCTATCTAGATTTGCCATGACATTTTCACACAGCAAGAAGAAAGGCATGTGTAGAATTTCCCACCAGCATTTGAAGCACCATTTGTTTACATTATACTGTAGTACTGTATAGTATTATAGATTCATTAGAATATTCATAGCAGTCTTCTGTGGACTGTTTGTCTTCTTCATTAATAGGTACGACTAAATGGCAGATACTGTATGTTTTTAAAATTACAAAATCAGAGACCCTTGACTCTTTTATTCTTAGCAGTAAATAGGTATCTGGATATTAGCCAATTGTTTTGGATTACTCCTTAGGAGGTGGTAGTACTGCATATCTTAAAGAGGGCAAGGTAAAAAAAAAAAAAAAAGAATATAGTACATACATTTTGAAGGTAGCTTTTGTAGTGTATAGACCAGATAAAATTATGTGTAAATCTAGAAGAGAGAAAACAGAGCTGATAAATAATAAATATAAGTGATTAAGGTGTGTAGCTGATGATCATGCTCGAGATATTAAGGATGTAACAGCCCTTTAAATAGAGCAGTCAACCTTGCTTTATATTATTGTTTCATGCCATTGTGTTTTGTCATAACTTATGTCTGGTTTAGGTGACCATTTTGACATGATCATAACCATGATGTCTTGACATGCAGTATGCAGCATTCTTGTTAAGACACATTACCATACAAAATGATTACAACTGCCCTTTACAGGTCAAAATTCCTAAATACATCTGTGTATTAGTGTGGGACCTTGCTTTACAATTCAGCTAAAAATTACCACAGTAAGATAACAGAGGTCAACTCTAGGTTCTTCTCTATTCCCTTTGCTCATTCAGCTAGGGATTTATGATGGAGTGGCTAGTTTTCTCCTACTCACTAAAGGTGAAGTCAGGGGACTATTACTCCGTAACAGTTCATCACAGACGTCAACTGAGACACTCCAGACAGTGGAACCAACCCATAGTTAGGTGGGTTCAGAAAAATTCTGCACCTAAGTACAGCCCTTAACCTCACAAATCACACCAGTGATTGTTGGAGACATGATCTGTAACCTGTTACTAGCACTTTGCAAGGGAGGCAACTCAGGTACACCATTGCCCTTAACAAAAATACTATTTACAGTCTAGTGGCACAAGAGGTGGCACACAGATGATTAAAGTGTCCTGCCATTTGCTGCCAAACTTCACTAAACCAGATGCTGCCTCCTTTGCAACACTAATGGAATGAGGGAATGGGGGCATATCAATATCCAAGTTTCTTTAACCTCAGGTCATGAAAAAAGACCTTATCTTGCATGCTCTTACGTGTCTGGCACTGGAGTTGCTTAGATTCCAGTTTGGTAATGTTATGATGAGTTTCTCAAAGGTTATTCTCATCACTCAAATTTTCCAACTCTGAATCATTAAAATTACATGTTTCCAGTGCTCTTGTCTATCTGATTAATATTTACAGAGATGATAAAAAAGTTCTGGCATAAATAATTTTGCCTCTTTGCCTAATGGCCAGGAAATGAGTCTACACAAATTGGAGACTCCACACATTCATCCTCCTCTAGTACAGTAGGTCCTCGACTTATAATGTTAATTCAATCCTGAAACTGTTGATAAGTTGATTGTTTAGAACTCCTGAATTTGTATTCTCATAAACACCCATGGTGTAATTGGAGATGCATTCTTGAAACAAAATATTCTATATATATTTAATAAAGAATCTTTATGCAATATTTTACATTCAGTATTGCTCCTTTTCACATACAAATAACATTAAACATTGTTTAATAAGGAGAACAAAGCTACAGTATGTTGTACAGGACAGTACGTATATGTTAAGCCAAGCAGCAGCTGGATTGTCTCAGAGAGAGAGAGAGTACATGGAAAAGACAGACAGTAGAGGATTTAGATCCATATAAATTTCTTAATCTACCTAGATCAAGGAGTTTTGTGTGCTATGTGTGAGTTTCTCCAGTGTCTTAATGTGCATTCTCAAGTGAGTTCCATGCCGGTGCTGCATACTCCAAGAGGAGCCTAACATGTATTGTATAAAGGACCTGGAATAATTCTTTGTTAAGGTTTCTGTGTGTGTGTAATGACCTGTTTGTAATTACCTGTTTGTAGCTCCAGGAGCAATTTACTCGCCTATTTGTACTCACTTATTCGTAGTTGCAGGGGTTGATTCTTAGATCCAGGTCCCACCTCTTAACTTGTCACTTTTCAGGTTCACTCCCTCTTAGCCTTGTGGGCCCTGTTGTACCTGTTCTGAAAATTATGTATGGAGCCTGTCTTTCACCACTTCCTCACCAAGATCATTCTTCCTGCTGGTGACACTTCACCTGCTAGTGAAGTGTCACCTGCTTCACCAGCAGGTGAAACAAGGAAGAAATTAAGCAGGAAACTAAGCATATTTAAAAAAATTAGAAGTAAATGAGATACTGAAGAGTGATGCATGCATCATGGAGAGAGCACGAGTGTTTGGTGTTAGATAATCAACAATTTTTTCAATTCTAGACAGTGAGACAAAGGTAAAGGCTTGTGCAATGAGTAATCCTCAGTGTGACACAGTGTAAAGAATGAAGAGTAGGTCATGACAGCTACATAAAACAGAAAGGTTACTAAATGTGTGGAATGAAAAACAAACAATGAAAAGTGTTCCACTTAATGGCCTTATTACTAGGGGAAAAAGTCTCATCGTACTATAAAACAGTATGTGAGGAGGAAGAACAGCCCAGAAACAAGTACACATTAGTGCTGGATGGTTTAACCAATTTAGAATGTGTAGTGGGCTGTATTAACAATTGCAGAGTACAACAGACCAGCAGCATATGACAGAATACCTGAGCACTCCAATGCAACAATCAAATGATAAAGCTGCATTAACATCCCAAATTCCCAATCTTCAGGATTACATCAACCTCAGCCCAGTAGGACCACAGCCGTCCTCTCCACCCCATTTAGTCATAATATCACCAGAGTTAAGAAACTATTATTTTTTGAAACATTATGACATTAAAAAATATTGTTACAGTTCTCTTGGAGGTTCGAGGAGCACATTCCTATTTTTCTCGTATGTTTTTCACCCTATTATAAGTTGCACATTTCATTGGTAACAGTTTTTGAAACTGCGTGAATTACGATTGTTCACTGTATTGTGCTTTATTTTGTGTCTTTTTTTAAACCAGTATTTTGTTTCTAATTTATTTTCTGTGATTTTGACATTTTTTAAATGGTCACAAATGAATTTTTTGGTTTTTGTTTGTTGCATTGTCAGTTACCTGGAGTATACCTGGAGAAGGTTTCGGGGGTCAACGCCCCCGTGGCTCGGTCTAAGACCAGACCATGTGGTGGATCAGGGTCTGATCAACCAGGCTGTTACTGCTGGCCACATGCAAACTGACGTACGAACCACAGCCCGGCTGGTCAGGTACTGACTTTAGGTGCCTGTCCAGTGCCTGCTTGAAGACAGCCAGGGGTCTATTGGTAATCCCCCTTATGTATGCTGGGAGGCAGTTGAACAGTCTTGGGCCCTGGACATTTATTGTGTTGTCTCTCAGTGTACTCGTGGTGCCTCTGCTTTTCATTGGGGAAATGTTGCATCTCCTGCCAAGTCTTTTGCTTTCATAGGGAGTGATTTTTGTGTGCAAATTTGATACTAATCCCTCTAGGATTTTCCAAGTGTATATTTTCATGTATCTCTCCCACCTGCATTCCAGGGAATACAAATCAGGGGACTGCAACCGTTTTCAGTAATTTAGGTGCCTTAACGTACCTATGTGTGCCATGAAAGTTCTTTGTACACTCTCCAGTTAGGGTATGTTTTAGCAGATATTGTTGACTCGTTTCAAAAAACTAACTGAAAAAAATAATACTGTACGTGTAATTTGTTCTTAAGATAATCCTGATTGCAGTATTATATCTATAGTTGTTGACCTGTCTTAACCAAACAAATGCAAGCTGTCTGTACATGCTTAAAATAAACATACACAAGGCATGACTGCATTTTGTAAAAATGAGAAAAAATATTAACAGTTCAGCCTTAAGAAAATTGTGAATATTAAATCTATAGTTGTCAAACAAATCCCACTAAACAAAGGTAAGCTCTCTGTTCACAACATGAAAGGGCATATTAGAGACAAGTGAAATAAAATATCAGCACGATGAAAAAAGGAGACACAACTGCAGTATAATGCAATCCTTTATTGATAGTGTTTTGTCCAGACTGGATTTTATCAAGTCACAAACAGATCCTCTAGAATAGGTAGTGCCCTCCGCCAACTCCCAGGGATTCTAGCAAAACACCTATCAAAAACTCTTGGGAACAATCAATTGAGCACATCTTATACAATCTGGTGATTTTGTCAACTGCATCCAAAACATCAACATCAGGACCAAGAAACTCCAGCCTAGACATGACAACCCTGTTTAGCAAGGTGTCCATGGCACAAGCCATTTATCTCCTGCATCAAAAAATTGACGACTTCCTCATCCCTTTCTGTTCCAGCTAGCAATTTTATAAGCCCTGTTAACCCTTTGACTGTTTTGGTCGTATATATACGTCTTACGAGCCAGTGTTTCAGACGTATATATACTCAATAATTCTAGCGGCTTCAAATCAAGCGGAAGAAAGCTGGTAGGCCCACATGTGAGAGAATGGGTCTGTGTGGTCAGTGTGCACCACATAAAAAAATCCTGCAGCACACAGTGCGTAATGAGAAAAAAAAAACTGATTGTTTTTTTGGATTAAAACACTGACTTTGAGGTGTATTATCATATAGTATTTATCGATGTATTTGCGTTTTCATGGTCTTAGGTGATAAAATGGAAAACATATTACAGAAATAGAGATGATTTTCATTACTTTGACGATGAAAACGACCTTGAAACTGAGCTCAAAGTAGCGGAAATGTTCGATTTTTACCAATGTTCAGGAGTAAACAAATCACACCACACGTCCAATACACATCAACTGGGGAGTCTAATATTCTTTCACTAGCGCACTGATATTATTTATACCATTTTTACAATAATGCAGAAGTCTGCATAACTGTAAATTTTGTATTTTTTTGTATGAATAAAAAATCAAAATAGAAAGCAATAATAATATAAGAGGGGCCTAGAGATGTGACTATTGAACAGTGGATATGTTATTTTAGTGCCAAGAATGTCTACCTTGTTTATTCTGGACCCTATTTTGAAATTGGCATCTTTTTTAGTTTGCGTGAAATTGGCCAAATTGCCAATTTCTGACCACAATATTGGGTAGTCCTTATTGGTAAATGGGAGGTTTCTTGTACTCAGCTGATAGATAAAATGGAGTTCTAAAGAAATAGCTATGAGTTTGGTCAACTGGAACAACGGAATTGGCTGAAAATAGGGCTCAAAGTCGGCGAAATCGCCGATACGCATATGTCGCCGAGACCGCTAACTTTGCGGGAGAGTAATTCCATGATTTTTCGACCAAATTTCGAACTTTTGGTGTCATTACCATCGGGAAAAGATTCTCTATCATTTCATTTTTTTTTTTTCTTTTTGTTTTCAAAAATTTAGCGACAGAATGACAGTTTCAGAAAGGGGCCTGAAACAGTCAAAGGGTTAAACTTTGTGTTGGTTTTACATGTTTCTCCTTTGAAAATTATCTTTTTCAATATAGTACAGTGGACCCCCGGTTAACGATTTTAATCCGTGCAAGAGGGCTCATCGTTATGCGAAATAATCGTTATGCGAATGAATTTTCCCCATAAGAAATAATGGAAATAAAATTAATCCGTGCAAGACGCCCAAAAGTATGAAAAAAAATTTTTTTTACCACATGAAATGTTAATTTTAATACACACAAACTGAAAAAGGCATGCACAATTAAATGACACTTACTTTTATTGAAGATCTGGTGATGATTGATGGGATGGGAGGAGGGGAGAGAGTGTGTTAGTGTTTAGAAGGGGAATCCCCTTCCATTAGGACTTGAGGTAGTAAGTCCTTTTCTGGGGTTACTTCCCTTCTTCTTTTAATGCCACTAGGGCCAGCTTCAGAGTCACTGGACTTCTTTCGCACAAGATATCTGTCCATAGTGGCCTGTACCTCTCGTTCCTTTATGACTTGCCTAAAGTGTTTCACAACATTGTCAGTGTAATAATCACCAGCACGGCTTGCAATAGCTGTGTGAGGGTGATTTTCATCCATGAAGGTTTGCACTTCAAGCCACTTAGCACAGATTTCCTTTATCTTTGTAGTAGGCAACTTCTTCAATTTCTCTCTCCCCTCCTCTGAACCAGTTTCCTCAGGTCTGGCCTCTTGCTCTTGAAGTTGATCTATCAGCTCATCAGTGGTTAGTTCTTCATTGTCCTCCTCCAGCAACTCTTCCACATCCTCCCCACTAACCTCCAACCCCAAGGACTTTCCCAATGCCACAATGGATTCCTCAACTGGCACAGGATTCTCAGGGTTAGCCTCAAACCCTTCAAAATCCCTTTTGTCTACACATTCTGGCCACAGTTTCTTCCAAGCAGAGTTCAAGGTCCTCTTTGTCACTTCCTCCCAAGCCTTACCTATAAGGTTTACACAATTGAGGATATTAAAGTGATCTCTCCAAAACTCTCTTAGAGTCAGTTGAGTTTCTGAGGTCATTACAAAGCACCTTTCAAACAGAGCTTTTGTGTACAGTTTCTTGAAGTTGGAAATAACCTGCTGGTCCATGGGCTGCAGGAGAGGAGTGGTATTAGGAGGCAAAAACTTCACCTTAATGAAGCTCATGTCCCCATAAAGTCGCTCTGCCACGTCTGTAGGATGACCAGGGGCATTGTCTAAACACCAGGAGGCACTTAAGTTCTAATTTCTTTTCAGTTAGGTAATTTTTCACATTGGGGGCAAATGCATGGTGTAACCAGTTATAGAAAAATTCCCTAGTGACCCATGCCTTACTGTTTGCCCTCCACAGCACACACAAATTATCCTTGAGGACATTCTTTTGCCTGAACGCTCTGGGAGTTTCAGAGTGATACACTAATAAAGGCTTCACTTTGCAATCACCAGTAGCATTGGCACACATCAACAAAGTAAGCCTGTCTTTCATAGGCTTATGTCCTGGGAGTGCCTTTTCCTCCTGAGTAATGTAGGTCCTGCTTGGCATTTTCTTCCAGAACAGGCCTGTTTCATCACAATTAAACACTTGTTCAGGTTTCAGTCCTTCAGTTTCTATGTACTCCTTGAATTCCTGCACATATTTTTCAGCCGCTTTGTGGTCCGAACTGGCAGCCTCACCATGCCTTATCACACTATGGATGCCACTACGCTTCTTAAATCTCTCAAACCAACCTTTGCTGGCCTTAAATTCACTCACATCATCACTAGTTGCAGGCATTTTTTTAATTAAATCCTCATGCAACTTCCTAGCCTTTTCACATATGATCGCTTGAGAGACGCTATCTCCTGCTATCTGTTTTTCATTTATCCACACCAATAAGAGTCTCTCAACATCTTCCATCACTTGCGATCTTTGTTTCGAAAACACTGTTGAACCTTTGGCAAGAACAGCTTCCTTGATTGTCTTTCTGGTGCCCACAATAGTAGCGATGGTTGATTGGGGTTTCTTGTACAGCTTGACTAGGTCGGCTATACGCACTCCACTTTCATACTTATCAATTATCTCTTTCTTCATCTCTATAGTAATTCTTACCCTTTGAGGTGTAGGGTTGGCACTAGAAGCTTTCTTGGGGCCCATGGTCACTTATTTTCCAGAAACAGCACCAAAAATACTGTAATAATACGAAATATTCCGAGTGTATGCTTGGATGTTACCGCGGAGGCTGGCTGGTAAACAATGGGACGGGGCGGCACATGTGAGGCTGGCTGAGGGCACATTGGACGCGTCTCGGACGAAAATCGGTAAGCGGGTTTTTAATCGGTATGCGCGGCAAAAATTTTGCGATAAAAGTAATCGTTATGCGGAAAAATCGCTATGTGATGCCATCGTTATGCGGGGGTCCACTGTATATACTTTTTGACTTCCAATTGGTTCCACACTTAGTGCTGCACTGGCAAATCTATATATGAAACAGCTTGAAGATGAGCAGCTTTCTTCTGTTGTTCCCTTCCAGTCACCTTGCTCCATAATGTTAATAACATATAGTGGAACCCCAAATATCGGCCGCTGCATTTATTGGCTGAATCGTATTTAGGCCATTTTTTGGGGCCAAAATTTTGCTCCATATTTTGGCTGGTGCCTCGCAAATCGGCCGTATTAGATGCCCACCTCCCGCCGGGATGCGACGTATATATGAGTCAGTCTCCTGTGTTTCTTGGAGAATGAGCACATACTCCATGCATTTATCCAAACATTTCCTTAAAATCCATTGGTTTTGTGCTTGTTTATTAAATGCGACTATGAAATAAGCCAACATGGGCCCAAAGAAAGTTCCTAGTGCCAGC